GAAGTATTGGTTGAGAGCCTTTGTTTATTAAAACAAGTGGACGACTCATACCTTTTAGGCTCCATACTAAGTTTGAGTGACTATTAAGTTAACATAGGAGTTACTTAGTCTTTGTCACAATCTTGATTGAGTAGTAGAGGTATCAGGCGGCGTAGGCCGGCTAGACCCCTTGATTCACCAATGTTTGTGGCTATTAACTCAATAGGTTATCCAGTAGGAATAGGGTTCGAGTGCCCTTGTTTGTTTAAAACAGGCGGACGACTCAAACTTTTTAGATTCCATACCAAATTTGAAGGAGTGACTATGAGTTAACTTTGGAGTTACTCAGTCGCCATCACTTTTGTTTGAGAAGTAGAGTACCAGGCGGCGTAGGCCGGCTAGACCCCTTGATTCGCCAATGTTTGTTGGCTATTAACTCAATAGGTACCCCCTGCATTTATCCCAAGTAATACAGGCGGTCATCTGACTCAGATGTCAACTGCTACCACTGTTTGGTTAGTGATAGAGTTATCCTTGTCTCAAAAACGGCTACGTGGTTGCCCTTGGGGACAGTCGTATAGGTGCCGTGTAATTAGTTTATAGAACAATGTTCCACCCAAAAGGGAGCTGCTCTCTGCGACGAATTTCATCCGGAGGGATGCCGTCGACGCCTGCTATGATGTTGGGACAGGTCGAATTAGTTTTGTAGTTTTGATCAGGTGGCTTGGCGCCTGGTCTGATCATTCGGCCGGTGGCCTTGGTAAGTTCTTGGTGAACGTAGGTGCTAAGTAAAAGAAGGGTAGCCGCCTGTTAGTTACAGGATCGGCCAGGCCCTAATCTTTTTAGCTAAGTATTGTGAGTAAAATACTCGATGGAGAGTAGCCGACTGTAAAGGAACAGACGGCATGCCCCTCTAAAGATAAAGAGTGAAACTCAATGGAGAGTAGCCGACTGTAAAGGTACAGACGGCATGCCCCTCTGGAGATAGAGTAAAAAAACTCAATGGAGAGTAGCCGACTGTAAAGGTACAGACGGCATGCCCCTCGTAATAAAAAATTGAATAGTAAGTGCAAACTTTATTAAGTAGCTCTTTACTTTACATCATTCAGAAAAAATATTTTTTAAGGTTATCTACATTCCAGGTTCGAGGCAACGGTTGTCCGTCTGGTGTTTCCAGACGGTAGGTACCGTCCCTGACTTCCGCATAGATTCGGTAGGGTCCTTCCCAGTTGGGAGTTAGTTTGCCAGACTCATTAGCCCTACCAACTGCTTCCATTTTTCTAAGTACAAAGTCCCCTACTTTGAGTGGACGCCTGTGTACTTTTTTGTTGTATGATCTAGTCATTCTCAGGCGATAGATCTCATGGCGCAAAACAGCATTGCCCCTCTTTTCAGGAAGTGAGTCTAATGCCAGGCGCATAGCTTCCCAGTTTGCCTCTTCGTCATATAGCATTACTCGAAGAGTCGGCTCGTAGTGTTCTATTGGAAGAACAGCTTCTGCACCATAAGTTAGGAGGAAGGGAGTTTCTCCAGTCGCCCCTTTTTCAGTCGTCCTAATGGCCCAAAGAACATGTGGTAGTTCATCTGCCCATAGGCCGCCTGCTCGTTCAATCTTTTTCTTGAGACCGTCTGAGATGATTTTATTAAAGGCTTCTACCTGGCCGTTTGCTTGTGGACGGCCGACAGATGCAAAGTAATGTGCAATTCCTTGGTCTCCCAACCAGCTTTTGAGAACAGGCGTCTCAAATTGGGGACCATTATCAAAAACCATAGACATGGAACCCCGAACCGAGTGATGACGTTTTTCCAAATGAATGAAATTACATCTTTCGTCTTGATTCCCTTTACAGCCTCCGCCTCTACCCATTTAGTGAAGTAGTCAACGGCAACAAGTATATACCTTCTGCCGCCTGTAGCAGGCGTATATGGACCCAGAATGTCCATGCCCCACTTAGCAAACGGTAGTGGGCTGTGAATGGTAGTGAGGTCAGTAGCCGGACGGTGAATTAATTTGCCAAACCTTTGGCACTTGTCACATTTTTTCACCATCTCCATTGCATCTGCTTCCAAAGTAGGCCAAAAGTAGCCCTGCCGCCTTGCCCTTTGAGCAAGCATCCTACCACCTATATGGGAAGCACAGAAACCAGAGTGAAGATCATCTAGTATCTCTCGTCCCTTTTCAGGAGTAACACACTTTAAGAAGGGTTGAAGGTGCCCCCTCTTGTGAAGTTCTCCCTGTATCATTTCAAAACAGGAGGCTCGTTTTTTCAGTGCTGCCGCCTGTTGAGGATCATCCGGCAGTGTACCGTTTGTCAGATATGCCCTGATTGAATCCATCCAGGTTGAGCTTCTGTCTAGAATTCCAATAGAATTTTCCTCGATGCTTCTCTTCTCCATTACTTCCCAAAACACAGTTCGAGGAGTATCGGAGGAGGCGGATGATGCTAATTTCGAAAGTGCATTTGCCTGGTTGTTTTCTGATCTCGGCACTTGGATCAGATGGAAATCCTCAAGGGAGCCGACTGCTTGTCGGACCGCCTGTAAATACTTGATCATGGCCGGATGTGTTGCTTCGTATTCGCCATTGTACTGACTCACTATCAGTTGTGAATCAGAACAGGCGTCTATTTTCCTTGCCCCTGCCGCCTTACACATGCGGATCCCGGCTAGTAAAGCTTCATATTCTGCCTCATTGTTTGAAGCCTGGAAACTGAAGCGTAGAGCATACTCGAACCTGTCGCCCTCTGGAGATTGACATACGACGCCTGCTCCACAACCGTTTGAAGTAGAGCTTCCGTCCACATATACCTTCCAGACTTGGTCTGGAACTTGAGAGTCAGGAGGACGAGTCATCTCTACAATAAAGTCAGCAAAGGCTTGCCCCTTCACTGCTTTTCTAGGCTCGAAAGTAACTTCGAGACTCTGCGTTTCTATGGCCCATTTGATCATTCGTCCGGAGGACTCCATGGTGGTAAGGGGCCGCTTGATCGGTTGGTCGGTATACACGACGACTGCATGTGCCAGAAAGTAGGGCTTCAATTTTTTAACAGCCATGAAGAGTGCAAGACCAAATTTCTCCACTAGGGGATACCTCAACTCGGCATTTTTCAGTACGTGACTGACAAAGTAGACCGGAAGTTGACAGCCGTCCCTTTCAGCAAGGAGCACCGCGCTTAACGCATGATCAGAGACGGCCAGGTACATGTAGAGATTTTCTTTGGGCAAAGGGCTGACCAGCCTCGGCAAGGAATGCAAGTGAACCTTTAATCTCTGGAAGGCGGCCTCAGCATCCGGCCCCCATTCAAACCTTGCCTTTTTCTTAATTGCCTGGAAAAAGTATAGGCATTTGTCGCCTGATCGGCTTAGGAATCTTCCCAAGGCCGCCAGACAACCTGTTAACTTCTGAACCTCTCGGACGGTACGAGGCGACTGCATGTCAATGACCGCCTGTACCTTCTCAGGGTTAGCCTCTATTCCTCTCTGGTTGATAAGGAATCCGAGAAATTTCCCAGACTCAACTCCAAATACACATTTCTTGGGATTGAGCATGACATGGTGCCGCCTGAGTGTGGCGAAAGTTTCTCGGAGGTCCGTCAGATGATCTTCCTGAAATTTAGTCTTGACAATCATATCATCAATGTATGCCTCGACGTTTCTCCCAATCTGATCAAAGAACACTGTGTTTATCATTCGTTGGAAGGTAGCCGGGGCATTCTTAAGACCAAACGGCATGACCGTGTAACAGTATAATCCCTGATCAGTGACGAAGGCCGTCTTCTCCTGATCTTTCTTCCATAAAGGAATTTGATGAAAACCAGAATAGGCGTCCATAAAACTCATCAAGGCATGGCCGGCTGTTGAGTCGACCAGGTTATCAATTTTAGGCAGAGGGTAACTGTCTTTGGGGCACGCCTTGTTCAAGTCTGTGTAGTCTACACACATTCGCCAGGTGCCATTCGGCTTTTTAACAAGCACCACATTTGCAACCCAATCTGGGAAGTAACATTGCCGAATGAACCCTGCATCAAGTAATTTTTTGACTTCGGCGGCTGCCGCCTGACCTCTTTCTTCACCATGGTTCCGCTTCTTTTGTCGTACCGGCTTCTTTTTCGGATCCACAGCGAGTTTGTGTACTGCCAGATCAGGACTAATGCCTGGCATTTCATGGACTTCAAATGCAAAGATGTCCTTGTATTCTTTCAACAGGTTGTGAAAGTCGTCACCAAGGTTTCTCAGAGCAGTCGTCCCTACTTTGACTGTTCGGTCAGGATGGGAGTCTTCTAATATCAGGTCCGCATGCTCACCAGCCGGCTGAGGGCGGAACTCATCCGGCCGGTCCTCTGCCAATGATTGCTATTTTCCTGCCTTTCTTGCGGACTCTGTCTGGGACGCCTTTCTTTTTTTGTCGCCTGTTTCTTGAACAGGCGCACTTTCCTTGACATTGTCAAGGTCTGTTTTTTCTCCACTTGACCCAGTGGCCATAACAGTGGGCTTGACATCCGAGAGATAGCACTCTCGGGCCGTCCTCTGATCTCCCCTTAGGGAGCCGACTGTTCCATTATCCCTTTCAAACTTAAGCAGCATAAGTGACGGGATTATAACAGCCTTGGAATTATTCAGGGTTGGTCGACCCAGAATCATGTTGTAGGCCGAGAGTTCCTCTACCACTAGGAACCGGACTACCATGTGTCGTCCTTCCCCTTTTTCGCCCAGGCGAATGGGTAGATCCACTCGTCCCA